AACTACTTTCTGACATTTCATAGACTAAAAAAAAATAATGTGTAGTTGCTGCAGTAGAAACACCTAGTAGAGCTCTCATTTGAAAGAAAAGCTTAGTATGTAGGTCTGTTGAATTACTTATGTACAGTATGGCATCTGGCTTAACAAAAAAAAAAAATCACTATTCAGCATTAAGCATCATTCTAGGTCATGGCATGTTTTTAGGACTGTAGAGGCAACTGTAGTGTTTTTATTTGTTATGTGACACACTCCACCTGGATGGACTCCTGTACCACTCCTCCCTTTGCCATCGGTAAAGAGAGCGCTTTCGCCTGGGGTGAGAATGTGAGTAGCACTTTGAAATATTCAACAAGGTATTATGTGCCCTGTTGAGGTAATTTTGAAGCCAGATAGGCTTAGATAGATGGGATTGTTTCAGCAATGAGCTAGTAGGAAGACTCTGGTAGTAAAGCTGCATGTGGAGCAGACAACAGTGGAAAAGCCCTGTCCCTTCACTGCTGCTGTCCACATAGCAGAAACTGACGAGGGGGCGTCTTTCAGACTCAGCACGTCAGGCCTATGGAGGGCTATTTTACCGGACAAAAATCTATTGTGCACCTAATCTCTAAAAGCGCTGACATGCTTTGCGTTCTGTATTATCTTTAGCTATCCGGCCTCCAACCAAAGCATGAAATCTGGGGTTCTTTCAGGAATATATCTACATATCCAGTTAGGTCAACAATTAGCCAGCAGCCGCACATGCCAAGGCTTATCCACAGGAGCCATTGCAGGGCTGAATGCACTCTATACATGCATTACGGTTCATTAATGAGTTTGATTTTTACATATGATGGGAAACCACGTCTAACATAAGATGTGCTACACTGCAAATTCATTACGCTTGGAACCCTCCTGCATACTAATATTGTGTTGAATCTTCACAATACATGAAGAACGAATCATCTTTTAATCAGTGGTCTGCTCGTTGCTTTACAACTTCACAATGGAAAATCCCTACTCTACTACGTGTGGTTTGTTCTCAAGGGAGGCGGTAGAGCAAGATAAACTCTCTTTACACCACACCATACAAATGTGGAATGGAAAGAAGCTATGTGGGGTTGGATTGTATGAAAAAAGATATTCCACGGCAAAGGATGAATAAATGCTTTTCTTTGGTAGATTGCGACTGTGACATATTTTCATCCCACAGTGGAGCCACACCACAGTAGCTGAGAACCCCCCCAAACATATCTGTTGAATATCTCACACACTTTTGAAAAAGTCTGCATCATAGTGCAAACTCTCAAATTATCTAGCAGAACATTAATCATAACTTCTGCTCACATCTGTGTGTCTATAAATCCTGCGTTTATGTTATAAATACATCAATATGATAAAAGATACGTTTATGTGTTTGTAACCGAGTAACACACTCAGTTAAAGCTCTACTTTTAACAACACTTACTTATTGAATTGTGCACAAGGGATGCTGGCCTTCTCTTGACTGACTGAGGGAAGATACCTAAACACACACATGCGTATAAGTACACACAAGGCAGATAACCATGTTGTTTCCATGTGACGAAGACTGGAAAATACTTTATTTTCTTAAGAATGAGGGGGAAAAATACTTTTTTTGATCACAGCAGAAAAAAAACTAATCTGACATGTCACATTGGGGTGAAAGCTTAAGCCTTGATGTTGGGCCAGAATTAGGGGTTGAAAAAAACATACAAGGAGGGGAGGCCCGCCAAAGGCGCTAAACTATTCAACTGTTGTCAGTTCCCATTAAAAAGAACTCACCATGACGAGTGGGTCAAACAATCACACCAACACACAAAAGGGTCTCCTGCAAGCACATTTGTGGTTTTGTTGAGGCACAAGGTTGTTCTCCGTGCAAGTGATACTTAGTAGTACCAAGTTTCACAAACATGCATCACCATCTCATACAACAAGAATGATAAACAACCTGCAGCATGACAAATGAAACTGACAACCGGTTGGCTCAACGTCTGACCTGCTAAAACCTCTCTCCGAGTGCCAAACACAGCGTTGCTGCTCAGAGTACAAGCAGAAACTACTAAAAAACAAAAGCAGAGGGAGAGTTGGACTCTTTCAACCACCATCCCGCTGTTCTTTCTATTCCACAGCAAACCACCCTCAATGGCTGTCAGCTGTGTGGCAGTGTGTGTCTTGTGCGGTAATGGGAATCACGAGGGGAGTAACCTAGAGATTCCTCTTGAGTGTGTGTGTGTGTGTGTGTGAGATTGAGCAAGTGTGAGAGAGAGTTCACATATGATCTCATATATACTTCCACTGCTGGTTGAAAATGTTGTAATTGCATTGCTCTGTGGTCACATTAGTGATGCAGGCAAATGACCTTTCCACACATGGCAACAGGAGATTCTTGTAACACTGCTCCCAGCATCTTTCTGTGTGACAAAAGGAGTACGAGACTCGACCTTTGGTGAAATATCCATCAAAGCGAAAAATGAATCTCTGCATCGGTTTTAGCCGGGCTTAAACGTAACACACAGGGATCAAATTCTCTATTCCCATCACGATGTCACTCAAACTGGGATTTTACTGACAGTTCATAGTGACATACTGAGTACTGGGTTATTAGAAATATGAGTTAAAAGACTGAACAAAGGGCTTTAGGCTGCATGTGAGGTACATACACTACCGTGCATTTAAAATCAGACCCACTAAAACCAAAGTGGGACATGGTAATGTGCTATCTAAGGGCATAAATCCTGAATGAGTGACAAAGGATTTGAGACAACTACCTCAGCTACTTAACCAAGAATGCTGCACTTAAATGCAGTAGGGCAGCTCATTTGACCGGTGCAATAAAGGTGAGTTCATCTCGTCCTGAAAAAGCTTCTCGCACAGTGCAAAGCAGCAAACGAGGCTCGCGTCAAAAGAAACGCCCCTTGCTTAACTTAAAATACAGATTAGGGTAATTAAATATGGCGTAGTTTGAACGTAGCGAGTGGACGGTGGGGGGAAAAAAGGTAAGCTTATCTTGTGGGGGCAGAGAGAGTCTGGATCTCCCCGCCCCTCGGCGACCTCGCATTCCAGAGATTCCCACACTCTTTAAGCTCACCTGGCTTTTCATTCACCGCTCAGCAAACACGCTTTCAAGGGCATTGTATGAGAAAAGTGAGGGGTTTTGTGTGTGTGAGTGTGTGTGAAAAAAAAACTAACGCCGAAACATGTATGCATCCTACAGCCAGCTAAGTTTCCATCCCTGTGGTTACACAGCCACGGCATCGAAGGTCTCTCATGAAAAGGTGTGCGTTTTGTTGGCGGTGAGTCGGTCACAAGAACCAGATTAGGGTAGTATTAGATTCTCTCCTGCTGTGAAGAAGACTAAAGAAGTTTTGTCTTGTGCGATAAAAACAAAAGAGAACAAATAGTTTCTCTAAACTCTCACATTCACCACTTTCTGAGTTCAAGTAGCAGTCCCATACTCTTCTCCTGCCTCGCGCTAAAATGGGTTTATATATATACCCCCCCCAACGTTTTCTCCCAATTATTCCGCAGTTAGCGAAGGAGCGAGAGAGAGAAAAAGAAAAGCAATTAAATACCTTAGGGAGGACTGTTTTGTTGCGCTGGCTGAGCTTTGGCTCGGGATCTACATTGGAACATGTAAGTTCACCGGTTAAAGTCCTGTCGTTTTCAGTAGTCCCATGCATGTGGAAGAGTGAAACGCGCCTCCATAAGAGCTCCAGTCGTGGAGAAGAAGAGGAAGAGGAGGAAGAAGACAACCCCTCCGCTGGCTCCCTGCTCTCCACCAGTACAGGCAGCAGTCCCAGGCAATGCGAGCGTGCATGACGTCAGTGGGAATGTGGGGAAGCAGTGCGCACTCCTGATTGGTTGCCGCGGGAGCAGGGGGCGTTCCCGAGGAGGTTCGCGTCGTGGAATCAACCAATGGCAGGAGAGACGGTAGTTTCCTTGGTTACAAATTTTGTCAACCCCACACAGTGTGCAGAGTGGGATAGCACAAGGTAAGCGAGGGTTCAGCTCATTTTTACTCACATAGACGCTTTATACTGCGTGTGTGTTGTGTTTTAGTTATTTTATGAGGCTCTGCAAAGAGTACCAGTGTTACTGTTCACACTGTTGTCATGTTTTAATTGGTTTTTGACATCAGTGTGGACCTAGCAAGCTAGTTTCACTGACAACATAATGCAACAAGTGTGACACCTTCCCAGCTCACCTGTTTGTTGTAAGATTATAGTAAGTTAAACACTATAGTAGGGCTGCAACTAACTATTCTATGTCCCGTTATCGATTATTTCCTCTATTAAATGAGAAAAAAGTGCCCAACACTATTTCTGGTGATTGAATTGAGCTTGATTTGTCTGAACCACAGTTGAATATCTATAGGCTTTCCAGTTTACTATTATAGAGGACCAGCAAATATATTCACACTTGAAAACCTGAAAGCAAGGAATTTTTGCCTAATCAATTAATTGGCCAATAGTTTCAGCTTTAAAAGGTGTATTCAAATGTTCAATACTAACGTTACATGTCCCCTTCAAGTATGGACAATCAACAGCTAATGTTACGCTGCTATTATGTCCTGAATCTTAACCTTACCTTGCCGTTTGGTGTTAATCTAATACAAAATGATAATCTTGCTCTGCGTTTCAAAAGTTAAGCATATGTCTTCTGGAGATGTGAGTAAAATATATCAGTTATCTTCATTAACAGAGAGTCAGTATTCATTTCACACATATCCTTTCCTGCATACTTCACACCAGCCCTTTACACATTGTACTGTACATGTTAATTGACACAATGTTTTTATGCTTAATAGAGTTTTTTTCTAGTAAACTCGTGCAGAGCTTGGAAGCAAAGTTTGTTTTTTTATTGGGCTTTATTGCTTCTGGCTTGGAATCTCTTGATAATCATTCGAATGACCCCCCAGGTGAAGTCGCCTTTTTTTTTTTATCAAGCTTTGCACAACATTTGTCATAAGTAGTGATAAAATGTCTGTATTTTGCAGGCATTGTAAGTGCACGCAAATAGCGCTCTGCCGTGATGAGTGGAAGGGATCCGCACACGTTCATCACAAACTACAGAGCAGCAGATGTGGGTAAGTCAGCAGAAAGAGCTCCTGAAACATTGCTGACTTGTGACTCTGACTTGTGGCCCATTGATCTGATGAACAGATTTGACCTGAAGTCCCCATGTTGAATTCTCCAGGTACTGTCAAGTCTTTGATGCTTTTCAGAGGCAGCACTGCTTGTGTTTATTCACCTGCCTCGTTGAGTCACAGCTGAACAACCCAAAAGAACTGCCTGACACAGTTAGTTTGCTCTGTGCTGCACCCCTCCCCACACAGCCCTTTCCAAATTACCCATACAATCCATTAGTGCTCAACTGGTGCTCCTCCTTTGTCTTTACCTCTGTTTCTTTCTTTGCTGAAGTCAGCATAAAGACTTTACTTCAGACATTAAAAGTGATGAGATTTTCAACAATTCCAGTGATCCTAATTCAGCCATATCATTTGCTTTCATCCATGCAGAAAAACTGACACTGCGGATGAAAAATGGTCTTGGCAGCTCAAAGTACAGACCGGCTGAATATAAAAAACTCCAAGCCATTGTTGATGCCAAGCGCCTGGAGTCTGATCTAATTGGACAAAAGGTAATTGTTTGTTATCAATATCATGCCTGTGCTTAAAACTGCAATTTTATTCTGAAATCCATTCCTGTTACGGTTACTAACACGATGATTCAGCACTAAAACAAGAAGAATGTGCAACAACACCATGATATAGAATATTTTTCCAGAGAGCACACAGTTCTTATTACCCACCACAGGAAGTGCCTGGACTGACAAAAACACGATTTTAATGTGAAGTGATAAAACAGTATGTCTCCGATAGTAGTAAATAGAATCATTTCTTTATGTTTGTCTACCTTTCTTTTTTATCTCGTACACACCACATACTGTAAAGGGATTTCCTTCCATACAAAACAGGCATTGCATAACCTTTATAGTTTGTCCAGCAACATGAAACAGCAGTAATATCGCTGCCATATACACAATAGCACTGCCAGTTTCATGAATATTCATTTGGCTGCCTGGAGTTTTCTATAAAACTGAGGCTCATGGTCTTCTGACTCTGAGCAGAGCAAAAAGTTGATGCTAGGGGCAATTGCGATAAGGCTGTTTGACCTGTGGTGTTTTAATTGGTAAACTGTGGCAGAAGCCTTTTTAGTATCATTATGGTTGCCCGTGGCTCCTTCCAACCCTGCTCTCTGCATAACCTAGATAAGACAGGCTATGTTAGCATTCGGTTGCCCCGCTGAAGGGCAGGCTTTCTGAGCATTGCCCATTGGTGATGTGATAGAGGGTAAATAAATGACCATGAGTTGCCTCAAGCATGGGATCTTTCTTGCTCTCCAGGAAGGGACTGGCAGCATTAACAGATACTGAAACCTTGCCCTTTTGATAAGATTTTCAGCAGCACTGTTAAAAAAAGAAAAAGAAAAGGCTACCTCGCATTAGAGTAAAAAATATTCAACAATGAATGTTTAAAAATGAGATACAGTTGAGACATTACTGATACTAACTAATACTAATACCAATGGCCCAGGTTAAAAACATGAACGTGATTCATAATTGAAACACTCCTTGTTAATCCTTTTATTCATGCACATATCACAGAGGTTATCTCTATTTAAAGATCTAGGTTAAAAACATATATAATACAATAAAATGGTAACAACTTGCAGAATTCAAACAGCTCAAAATCCATTACAAAAACAAATATACCCTTTTCACGGTTCTCAAAAGTGCCATCCCACTTTTTCATAGACATACAATTGACCTTTTCTCATGGATGATATTTTGACATGTCACACTAGGAAAAGCAAAGGTGTATACAATCCTGTACTATATTTACCCTCTGTTATTTTATCAGATTTTTTTTTTACATTTTATCTTTTCTGATTAAGAACTTTATGCAAGATATTGTGTCCTGAAAAATTCCCACAAGGGAAGGAAAAGCCTTGTGTCTATAGCATGTACACGACTTTCTGCTGCAATCACAATGCAATGTGCCTGCAGATACAAAAATCAACAGTCGGGCGACACTTCAGCTGTCAGTGTTGACACAAAGTAATATGATTATTATGTGTCTGACATCTGAGTTCACTGCTCACCACAGAGTAAGCTATTATACAGATACAAAGAGTGAACAATAGAGCAGAGCCATTGTTAATGTTTTTATTAACACCTGTACTTTTTCTACTATGAAAAGCCAAAATATCTGCTGGGAAATGGACCTATGGCTAACAAGAAATGTATAAAACACAGTCTCACTCTTATACAGCGATCAGCCATAACATTATGACCACTAACAGGTGACGTGAATAACACTGATTATCTTGTT